AACTCAAAAAAAAAAAAAAAGAAAAAAGAAATCTATACTTTCTTTCTCTTCTTTTCTTCCTTCCTTCCTTCCTTTCTTCCTTCCATCTTTCTTTCTTTCTGGAAAGATAAATATTAGGGGTTAGTCAGAAGACATTAGCCCATCTGTTTGCAACTTTTGAGATACATCAAATGTGATTCCTGGACTACGGACAGTTTTTCTTCCTGCTCATCTGCGTTTTCTAAATTTTCAGCAATGGCCAGGCATGGTGGCTCATGCCTGTAATCCTAGCACTTTGGGAGGCTGAGGCGAGAGGATCACTTGAGCCTAGGGGTTTGAGACTAGCCTGGGCAACATAGCAAGACCTCATCTCTACAAAAAATAAAATAAAATAATTAGCTAGACGTGATGGTGCCAGTAGTCCCAGTTACTAAGGAGACTGGGGCAGGAGGATCGCTTGAGCCCAGGACGACAAGGCTGTGGTGAGCCATGATCACACCACCGTACTCCAGCCAGCCTGGCTGACAGAGGGAGATCCCGACTCAAAACAAAACAAAAGGTAAATTTTCAAGAATGGAACTTGGAATACTTTATTATTATTATAAAGCCACAAACACATCTTCTTCTCAATCCTTTACCTGTTAGCACTTTCCCTAGACCTCCTTGGGTCTATCAGTGACATTGTGATTCCTCCTAGGTTCAAAACTTGATCGTCATCATGCTTGATACTCTCTTCCCTCTCCCTTCCCTGTCAGTTAGTACCATATTTTGTGGTTATTTGAGTATATCTCTAGCTTCCTTGTTTGATTTTAAGTTCTCAATGGGTATACACCTTGTCTGGTCTGTCTCTCTGGAGACTATCCCATAATACAGCTCACATACAGATGATCTAAAAATGGTGACTGAACTTTTTCTTTGTTGCCGCAGGCCTGTCTCTCTATATCTTGCAACTGTCACCTGACTGAGAAATTTCCTCTATAAATAAACCGTTTCTGTTTCAGGTATGGTTTGCCCTGATACTTACACCACATCTCTCAATCCACCCAAGTCTCAAACTTAGGCACCTGAATTAGAGGTGGTATTCAAATCCTTAGCCACAGTGTGAGCAGACGATGTCCATAAGAGCCAGGTAAGCATGGTCAAGATCTTTGTCCTCCTAGGTGCTGTCGCTGTGGTCTTCATCGGGGACCCCTTGACGGTTTTGACTTGTCCCTCTACACTGTTCTTTTCGTGGTTCTCTTGTTTTTTCTTTGCGATCATGTTGCAGATGACTCAGCAGTGCTTTCAAAATGAATATTTTGATAGTTTGCTGCACACTTGCAAACCTTGTCAACTTCGATGTGCGAATACTCCTCCTCTGATATGTCAACAATATTGTAATGCAAGTAAGTAATAATGCTTGAATAATTATTTATTGGTGTGAACTATTCTCTCTATATTGGCTGTTTATTCAGAGAATAAACATTATAGGGAAGATGGTGAGATTTTCTGAATCAGAAAGAGAAAGGAGCCGGGTGGCTCATGCCTGTAGTATCAGCTACTAGGGAGACTGAGGTGGAAGGATAGCTTGAGTCCAGGAGTTTGAGGTTGCAGTGAACTATGATCACACCACTATACTCCAGCTTGGGCAACAGAGCAAACCTCCAACTCTAAAATAAATAAGTCAATAAATGAGGCTGGGGCAACCCCTTTGGGTCCCCTCCCACTGTGGGAGCTTTTCTGTCCTCTTAATAAATCCTGCTTTCATAAATAATTAAATAAATAAGTAAAGTCAGGCGAGGTGACTCACCCCTGTAACTCCAGCACTTTGGGAGGCCAAGGTGAGAGAATTGCCTGAACCCATGGTTGAGCAACTTGGTGAGACTTCATCTCTACAACAAATCAAAAAAATTAGCCAGGAGTGGTGCTGAGTGCCTGTAGTTCCAGCTATTTGGAAGGCTGAGATGAAAGGATCACCTGAGGCAAGCAGGTCGATGCCATGGTGGCTGTGAGCATGCCACTGCCCTCCAGCCTGGGTGACAGAGTGAGACTCTGAGTCAAAAAATAAAAAAAAAAGTTAATAAATAAGTAAAGAGAAAGGACAGAAGGCAGTGGTTTTAAATGTCTACAGAAATAAAGTAATTATTCAGAACTAGACTCAATATTATCCAGTAATATTGGCAACATAGATTTTAAAAATCAATTTTTCTAATAAGTGGTATTTAATGAATTAGGGGAACTGAATGGCAAATAATCCACATTTGATGTGAATGTTACACTCTCAGCTCATTATTTCTCTGACTTTTTAAAATAAAGGTCTGCCCAATTCCATGAAAGGAACAAATGTGATTCTCTGGACCTGTTTGGGCCTGAGTTTGACCGTTTCTTTGGCAGTTTTCATGCTGATGTTCTTGCTAAGGAAGATGAACTCTGAACCACTCAAGGATGAGCTTAAAAGCACAGGTTGGTTTGATGGTGAATCTTTGAAATCTATTTCCAAGAGATCTATTTCCTTTTCTTTTTTTAACGTTGGCTGTTTCATTGTCTGCAGCCCTTTCCAGTGTGTTAGATAGTAATGTGAAATGGTAGAACCTTCATTCTGTTTTTGACACCTGTGACGTCTCTTTCGGTTTCCCCCAAATTCTTTCCTTGGTAATGACTCTATTGAAACACTCAACTTGGGAAGCTTTCATCTCTTTGACTGAAGCTAGCACATTAATTAAATGTTCCGCTTTTAGAAACTCCTAGCCAAGCCTGCTACTGTCAGGGAAAGCATATTTGGCAAGATCTGTGGCCATGTTTTTTTTTTTTTTTTTAAATGGCTCAGGCAATCTTACCGCTTCTGCCTTCCAAGTAGCTGGAACTATAGGCGAGCGCTACCAAGCCCAGCTAATTTTTTTATTTATTGTAGAGACGAGGTCCTGCCAAGTTGTCCAGGCTGGTCTCAAACCCTTGGGATCAGGCAATCTGCTTGCCTCTGCCACCCAAGTTGTTGGGATTCCAGGAGTGGGCCATTGCGCCCGGCCTGTGGCCATGTTTTTTGAGTCGAAGTCTCACTCTGTCGCCCAGACTGGAGTGCAGTGGCATGCTCATGGCCACCCTAATGTTGACTCGCTAGCCCGCAGTGATCCTTCCACCTCAGCCTTCCAAGTAGCTGGAACTACAGGCACATACTACCATGCCTGGTTAATTTTTGATTTATTGTAGAGATGAGGTCTTGCCAAGTTGCCCAGGCTGATCTCAAACCTGTGGACTCAGGCAATCCATTCGCCTTGGCCACCCAGAGTGCTCGGATTACAGGTTGGGCCATTAATCTCGGCCGGTCATGTTTTTAATACCAGTATACATGCTGTTCCCTTAGGTGAACATTTTACTACTGACAAATGCTAAAAATGAATAACCAGTTGCTAATGGATTATTTGAGCAATCATCTAAAAAATGTCTTTATTAGGGAGTAGAGAACCAGTCGTAGAGAAGTGAATGTTCTACTTAAGGGCCTCTTAGGATAAAAATATTTTTGCAGCACCTTTGTGATCTGATTCCCAAATAAGCAGCAGATACTGCCCCATTTCTTTATACATGTTATATATACACGATCTGCAAAGCCTTTTCCCCACTAGCTTTTGAGTACAGCAGGAGAGGGAGATGACTGACGGCTCTACAGAATTTACTCACATTTCTTTCTCCCCTCTGGGATCTGATAGACAAGTGGAGAGTGAATTTCTTTTTCTTTTTTTTTTTGAGTTGGAGTCTCACTCTGTCACCCAGACTGGAGTGCAATGGCCGCTCCCGGTCACCGCAGCCTCGACCTGCTGGGCTCCGGCAATCCTTCTGCCTCAGCCTTCCAAGTAGCTGGAACTACAGGCGCGCGCTGTAGTTCAGTGTCCACCTTCCCAGTTCATTTTTGATTTGTTGTAGAGATGAGGTCTCGTCAAGTTGCCCAGGCGGGTCTTGAACCCGCGGGCTCAGGCAATCCATTCACCTTGGCCTCCCAAAGTGCTGGGATTACAGGCTGAGCCACCAAGCCCGGCCGAGAGTGAATTTCTTTTACATAAAATAAAAATTTTATCTATTTAAGGTGTACAACATCATGTTTTGCTATGCATATCTACAAGGAATGATTACACTCACCAAACACATCAACATACCCATCTCTTTACATGGTTTCCCTTTTTTTTTTTTTTTTTTTTTGAGTTGGAGTCTCACTGTCACTCAGACTGGAGTGCAGTGGCCGCTCCCGGCCACCGCAGCCTCAACCTGCTGGGCTCCGGCGATCCTTCCACCTCAGCCTTCTGAGTAGCCGGAACTACAGGCATGCACTACCACGCCCGGTTAATTTTTTGATTTATTGTAGAGATGAGGTCTCGCCTGCCCAGGCGGGTCTCAAACCCGCGGGCTCAGGCAATCCACTCACCTCAGCCTCCCAAAGGTATGGGATTACAGGGGTTTCCCATTTTTTGCGGTGAGAACTGTACTCTACTCTTATTTATTTTTGGGCCGGAGTCTCACTCTGTTGCCCAGGCTGGAGTGCAGTGGCACATTCATGTTCAGTGGCACCCTCTAGTTCAGAGGATCCTTCTGCCTCAGCCATCCAGGTAGCCAGAACTACAGGCGTGCAGCACCATGCTCGACTCATTTTTCTTGATTTATTGTAGAGATGAGGTCTTGTAAGTTGCCCAAGCTGGTCTTGGATCCATGGACTCAGGCAATCCTCTCACCTTGGCCTCCCAAAGTGCTGGGATTATAAGCGTGAGCCACTGTGCCTGGCCTTGAATTCTACTCTTAACAAACTTGCAGTATACAATACAGTATTATTAGTAGTATTTTGAGTGGGATCTCACACTGTTGCCCAGGCTGCAGTGCAGTGGTGTGATCATGGCTCACTCAAGCCTTGACCTCCTGGGCTCAAGTGATCCTTCCATCTCAGCCTCCTGAGTATCTGGGACTACAGGTGCGTGCCACCATGCCAGGCTAATTTTTTTTTTTTTTTTTTTTGTAGATATGAGGTCCTGCTATGTTGCCCAGATAGGTCTCAAACTCACTGAGTTCAAGCAATCCTCTTGCCTTGGCCTCCCTAAATGCTGGAATTACAGGCATGAGCCACTGTACCTGACCACAATACAGTATTGTTAACTATAGGTATTATGTCTCATATTAGATCTCTAGATTTATCTATTCCCCATAATTATAACATCATGCCCTTTGATCCCCATTTCCTTATTTCCCCCACCTCTGTAACTACCTGTTTTACTTTCCTTCTATGTATTCAACTTTTTTAGATTCCACATACAAGTAAGATCATCCATTATTTTTCTTCCTGTGTCTTATTTTGAGAGTGACTTTAAGTGTGACGTTTTGGAAGATGGAGTTACACAGTGGAATGTCAGGAAGTAGTAAAACTTACCTGAATAGGGGCATAATGGGGACATAATGGAGATTCCTTCTTTTTTCTTTGAGTCAGAGTCTCACTCTGTTGCCCAAGCTGGAGTGCAATGGCATGCCCACGGCCACCACAGCCTTGATCTGGTGGGCTCAGGTGATCCTTCCGGCTCTGCCTTCCAAGTAGCTGGAACTTCAGGCACACACCACCATGCCCAGCGAATTTTTTGATTTATTGGAGATGAGGTCTCGCCAAGCTGCCCTGGTTGGTCTCAAACCCATGAGCCTAGGCAATCCTTTTACCTCAGCCTTCCAAGTGCTGGAATTATAGGCATGAGCCACTACACCTGGCCTGGAGACTCCTTCTTTATGCGATCACTACAGATTCATTAAAAAAAAAAACACTTGATCTGCTACAAAATGCAAAAGAAATGTCTTTACCATCTGTTTCTTTCTTTTTTTTTTTGAGTCAGAGTCTCTGTCACCCAGACTGGAGTGCAGTGGCCGCTCCTGGCCACTGCAGCTTCGGTCTGCTGGGCTCCAGCGATCCTTCCGCCTCAGCCTTCCAAGTAGCTGTAACTATAGGTGCGCGCTACCACGCCCGGCTAATTTTTTTATTTATTGTAGAGATGAAGTCTCGCCAAGTTGCCCAGGCAGGTCTCGAACCCACAAGCTCAGGCAATCCACTCACCTCAGCTTGCCAAAGCGCTGGGATTACAGGCCGAGCCACCGAGCCCGGCTTCTTTTTTTTTTTTTTTCAGAGTCTCATTCTGTTGCTGTAGTGTAGTGGCATGCTCACAGTCACCACAATCTCGACCTGTTGGGCTCCGGTGACACTTCTGCCTCAGCCTTCCAAGTAGCTGGAACTACAGGCGCATGGCACCACACCCGACTATTTTTTGATTTATTGTAGAGACGAGGTCTCACCAAGTTACCCAGAATGGTCTCAAACCCCTGAGCTCAGGTAATCCTCTTGCCTTTGTCCCCCCAAAGTGCTGAGCCACTGTGCCTGGACTTCTTTCTTTTTCTTTTTTTTTGAGTTGGTGGTCTCACTTTTGCCCAGACTGGAGTGTAGGTGGCACAATCATGGCTCATTGCAGCGTTGACCTCCTGGGCTCAGGCAATCCTTCCATCCCAGCCTCCTGAGTAGCTAGGACTACAGGTGTGTACCACCATGCCTGGCCAATTTTTAAACTTTTTGTAGAGATGAGGTCTTGCTATGTTGCCCAGGCTGGTTTCAAACTCCTGGTCTCAAGAGTTCCTCCTGCCTCAGCCTACCAAAGTGCTAGGATTATTAGTGTGATCACCCCACTATTGCAGTCTGGGTGACAGAGTGAGACTGTCTTGAAAACAAAAACTGTAGCCGGGCGTGGAAGCACGCGCCTGTAGTTCCAGCTACTCGGAGGTTTGAGGCGGAAGGATCGCCGGAGCCCAGCAGGTCAAGGTTGCAGTGGCCACGAGTGGCCACTGCACTCCAGTCTGGATGACAGAGTGAGACTCCAACTCAAAAAAAACAAAAATAAAAAAGAAAACAAAAACTGGCTACTTGCCTAGAGTGTAGGTAAAATCACTGGATTTTTAAATGCGGCCAACATAAAATAAACAAACAAACACTTAAAAACACTGTATGCCTCCAAACAAACCTTGTTTTCAAGCCCAGTGTGGCCTGTGATCTGTTATTTTCTGACTTCTAGCATAGGACATACTCATTCTTTTTGTATGAAAACATCAGTGGTGTGTACCTGTAATACCAGCTACATGGAAGGCTGAGGTGGGAGGATCACTTAAGTCCAGGAATTTGAGTTTCCCCTGGGCAACACAGCCAGATCCCATCCTGCCTCTTTAAAAAGAAAGAAAGAAAGAGAGAGAGAGAGAGAGAGAGAGAGAGAAAGAAAGAAAGAAAAAGAAAAGGGTCTGTCTTAGCTGGGCTCAGTGGTTCACACCTTTATTTTATTTTTATTTTGAGTTGGAGTCTCACTCTATTGCCCAGATTGGAGTGCAGTGGCTGTTCCTGGCCACCGCAGCCTCGACCTGCTGGACTCCGGAGATCCTTCCGCCTCAGCCTTCCGAGTAGCCGGAATTATAGGCATGCGCTACCATGCCCAGCTGATTTTTTGATTTATTGTAGAGATGAGGTCTCACTGCCCAGGCAGGTCTTGAACCCACGGACTCAGGCAATCCACTCACCTCAGCCTCCCAAAGGCACGGGATTACAGGCTGAGCCACCAAGCCCGTCTGGTTCACACCTTTAATCCCAGTACTTTGGCAGGCGAGGCGAGAGGATTGCCTGAGTTCAAGAGTTCAAGAATAGCCTGGGCAATACAGCAAGACCTCATCCCTACAATTAAAAAAAAAAAAGCCAGGCATGGTAGCACATGCCTGTGGTTCCAGCTACTTGGAAAGCTAAGGCAGAAGGATCATCAGAGCCCAGCAGGTTGAGGCAGTGGTGGCTGTGAGCATACCATTGCACTCCAGCCTGGGTGACAGAGTGAGACTCTGACTCAAAGCAAAAAAAAAAAAAAAAAGGTCTGTCTCTCATTGTTTTGAGTCCAGATGCTTTGCTGTGTACTGTTAAGACTGTCATGACCATACATTTTGTGAAGTTCGGGTTAATGTTTCTATTATGTACAACCAGGATCAGTTCTCCCAGGCATGGCTAATGCTGACTTTGACAACAGCAACACTGGTGATAAAAATATTCTTCAGAGAGGCCTGGGGTACACAGTAGAAGAATGTACCTGTGAAGACTGTACCACAAGCAAACCAAAGATGGATTCTGACCATTTCTTTCCACTCCCAGTCATGGAGGAAGGTGCAACCATACTTGTAACCACGAAAACGAAAGACTATTGCAATGGTCTGGCATCTGCTTTGAGTGTTACAGAGACAGAGATACCAGTTTCTACTAGATAACTAACCATCTCAACAGATATAGTGCTACTCTGAAAATCTTTAATCTGAAGGAAAGACGATGCTTCAGTTCTCTTTAGGATAACTATGTGTTTCAGTTGTTGAAACAGCTTTTTGTCATCTAATTCTGGAAAGTTTTTATGTTAGATATAATTTTCTATTACTGGGATCTTAACTATAGACATTTCCTTGGTTTCATGATTAAACTTTTGATCTACTGAAGAAAAGGCTTGGTAATCTGTAAATCCCATAGTCACACATCTCTCTGGGTAGGACCTTTCTCTCCTGTATACAAACATATGCATTTAGGACAGATGGGATTTTTCTCTTTATTGTTAAAGGAAATCAAACTTATACTACAGCACTTTGGGAGGCAGAGGTGAGAGGACTGCTTGAGCCCAGGGGTTCAAGATCAGCCTGGGCAATTTGGCAGGACCTTGTCTCTATAATCAATCAAAAAATCAGCCGGGCATGGTAGCACCTGCCTGTAGTTCCAGCTACTTGGAAGGCTGAGGTGGAAGAATCACCTGAACCCAGCAGGTCGAGGCTGCGGTGGCTGTGAGTGTGCTACTGCACTCCAGTCGGGGTGACAGAGTGAGACTCCAACTCAAAAAACAACCAGAAAACAAACAAAAAAATTTACTACTTATTTTTGCAAATAGGAGAAGTCTTGAATTAACCAGACTAATTCGGTGTACAACGCATTGGTGGTTCTTGGCCTTGTGAGCTTGCAACATAATGAAGGCAGTAGGTATTATGGCAATCATATCAATACACGCGGCCAGGCGTGGTGGCTCATGCCTGTAATCCTAGTACTTTGGGAGGTGGAGGCAAGAGGACTGCCTGAGCCCACAGGTTTGAGACCAGCCTGGGCAAAATGGTGAGAACTCTACAATAAATCAAAAACTTAGCCGGACGTGGTAGGATGCGTCTGTGGTTCAGGCTACTTGGAGGGCTAAGGCAGGATTGTGGGAGCCCAGCAGGCTGAGGCTGTGGTGGCCATGAGCGTGCCACTGCACTCTAGCCTGGAAGACAGAGTAAGACTCTGACACACACACACACACACACACACACACACACACACACACACACACACGTATAAAACCAAGCTGTAATCTGACCACACTGGCCATGATCACTCATATTTGGATCAGTATAAACCTCCTTATATGTATAGTGTATAGAGTTTGGCTTCCTGTCAACAGTCTTTACCAAAAGGTTTTTTTTCCTGCCTTCTCTAACTAAATTTCTTTGAAGTAGTAGTAGAATTGGGAAAGGGAGTATTTTTTTTCTGAATTCTGAGAATTTTAAAAATATAGAACAGTACAAAGAATCACAATGGTCCACATGCCTACCTAGAATCCCAACAAAGCTGATTTTTAACACTTCAATGGCTTCTTTCATTTTTTTTTTTTTTTGTGGAGTCTCACTCTGTCGCCCAGATTGGAGTGCAGTGGCTGTT